TGAGGGTATCTTAATATAATGTACCGTCCGGTCACTAATAATAAATCAGTCCAGTACCAACCGCCGTTTCATTAACACACCTACATTACAAAATGTTTAGAAAAAAAATATGGCTATCAAGCTACTAAACATAAATGTTCTAAAATATAATTTTTCTATGTTTCCTTTTTAAAAGTTGTACAATAAAATCACAATTCTTTAACTCACAGGATTCTTGCTACCTCCCCTAAAAAGACTGAAAATGGTGATTTGCTAACAAAAGCGTCAATAAGGAAAGCTCAAGTGAAATCAAAACCACTTAAGAATAGCAATGGAACCAACAACAGTACACATATGTCAAATGGCACCACTCTAAGGTCTCGTTCCTCAAGGACATCAGCAAAGGGCAATGACAGCCATAAACTGACCGAGTACTTCAAAGAACAACTCAAAGTTCCCAAAGTGGAGTCTCCACCTCCACTAAAAACAATAAATAAGACTGCTAAAGTAGAAACTAAAGCTGTGAATGGCCATACAAATAATTTGAATCATAAATTGACGGAGTATTTTCCAGTACGACGCAGTGTTAGAAAAACTTCAAAATGTGTTATGGCAGAAAAGATGCGTGATTTGGAAAGGGCTGTGAGAGAGCAAACAGAAGATGGACTTAAGGTAGAATATTTTGATGGGAAGGGTCGCGGTGTGATAGCGACTCGTGCGTTCGTGCGCGGTCAGTTCGTGGTGGAGTACGCGGGCGAGCTGGTGGGCGTTGCGGAGGCGCGGGAACGCGAACAGCGCTACGCACTAGATCCGGAGGCTGGCTGCTACATGTATTACTTCAGGCACTGTGACCAACAGTATTGGTAAGCATCTGTGCCTATTTGGTATAAAACACTGCAAAACTAAGTCAACTAATTCATTATTAACTGTTTACGCCAAGACCTTATGATGGGGTAGCAGACTACCAAACCGTAATCTATCCCTACTCCATTTATTTATAGGGAAATTTGGAAAAAATATGAAGTAAATTTATAGCATAATCTTGTCGTTAATCATTAGTATGTTACCAGTCATCTTGTACATTGTAAAACTGGAGTTAAGCTTACACAAAATCTCACATGATATGTTTTTTTTTTAACCAGTATCGACGCGACGGCGGAGAGTGGTCGTCTAGGTCGATTAGTGAATCATTCTCGTAATGGCAACTTACACACCAAAGCAGTATGGGTGGACGGACCGCGCCTTGTGCTGATTGCGGCGCAGGACATTGCGCCCGGGGACGAACTTACTTATGACTATGGTGACCGATCTCGTGAGTCCCTCAGACATCATCCCTGGCTCGCACTTTGACCTGGGTAAGTTAACATTTGTTTGCATATAATCTGTTGTCTAGTAAACTGGTCAATACTGAGGGTTGGATGTTTCTAAGCCACTGTTTGTGATAAAAGTGCTGATGTGTGGGTCTAAATTATTCCGTTCTGAATTTAATATGATGCTTAGGTGTTTCTCTTAGTTTAGACTATAAAAAAAATGCTAGTACATTTTTTTTATAGTGTAATATTCAAATAATCCTTCATTACAGGTATGACTCCAGAAATCTCAAATGGACCTAGCATTATTTATTTCAATATTAGTTATGATAAATCTGTTTACTCTTAGTCGCATAAAAAAGTTAATTGTTGATGTAGTAAAACAAGAGGCCTAAAACATGTGGTTACAATAACTAGACCAGTTTTTAAATGTAAGCTTTGTTAACTGCCTTCATTCATAAAGACTATGAAAAGAAACACAGTATTTGAAAGTTACAAGATAGTTTAATATGTGAAGTATTTAGCAAGATAATGAAAGATAACTGATACCAAAACCTTAAGACCTTAATATTTTATTGCCAAAACAAGATATTAACATCTTGTAGAATGAGAAAAGTATAGTTTTTACTAATAAATCAGCTTCCTAAAGTCTTGAATATTTTATACAATATATAAAAACAATTTCAAATATAGACTATGATTAAGGGTAGTTAATAAATTAAACCCCCCCCCTGACCTACCTATAACAACGCCTAGGGTGGAGGGTGAGATTTCCTCATATGATGTATTTAAAAAAAATCCTTTGTTCGAATGTACAAATTCAGTTACAGTTATCTTTCGTTATAAACTTTCATCACAATTTTTATCACATGTATTTCGTCATCAAACATTATAGAATTAGTATTGATGAACTCAGTATTGCAATAATAAACATTATTTATCTCATATTTGTCTAGAATGAATTAAAAAAAGGCATAGTTGAAAGCAATAAGATCCCTCATAAATATAATTACGGTTTTTTAATTATATGTCTTGAATATTAATTTTCTTTAATATTTAAACAATATTAATGATATAGTGTTGCCTTAATCATGAAAGGATTTTTTTAAGTTGCACTTCTCGTATATTATCTAATTTAATATGAATTTTACCAAAATCTCTTTACATCCTACATTAAATATGTTAACTACTTAGTTTATAAAAATACAGCAATAAAGCGTAAATGAAATTGTCCATACAAATACATATTTTTGGACTTTAATTATAAATGTAGTAAGTAGTGATAGAATTTTTCGCACAAAATGTTTTTAAATTTTTAAACTCCCAAAATTATCCTAATATTGCACCATACATTTAAATTAATTAAAAAGTGTTTTTTTTTTAACTATTGTAAGTTAATTACAAAGGCTACTCTTTGTACTTTTTTGTTGTAAAACTTGTATAAAAGTAACAGTACTTATTTGTGCTTTGTAACACATTTTGACTCTAATTTTACTCAGAAAGTAAATTATGTTTGAATATTGTAATATCCCTTATATTTGGGACTTAATCTGGAATAAGACAAAGTTTGATCTATGTATGACTTTAAATATGACGGGAAACCTTATTTATTTAAACTTATGTTAGTATTTAAGAGTTATAAAAAAACTCGAATAATTTATGTATTTCGTGGTTTTTAGTCTAATGATGGTTGTACTAGTTTTGCTCACAAAATTATTCTATTATGGGGTTTGAAAAGTAATGAAATAAATATTAAATTAATTTACCCACCGTGATTTAAATTTGTGTCTGATTTTAACACTGGTTATGATCCTAGTTCATTAAAAAAATTACAATAAAAATGTTAGTCCATACAAGATGCTATTTATTAAATGTACATGTTTTAATGTATTTATTTCAATAACAAATCCATTTGAACATTCTTAATATATAAAATATTTATATAACCATTTGAAATACAAAACTTATACAGCCTTACAAATAAAAGTTAAACTTAGGAATAAACTGAGTATAAGCAAATATTAGTACAAATTTTGCTTACACTCAGTTTATTCCCAAATTTAACTTTATACCTCGTTTATTTGCTAGGCTGTTATACTTGGTGTGCCAATTATCCATACAAAAATATAAACATATATATTCAATGTAATGTATTATTTTATTTATATAAATAAATTGTTAGAAAGTGCCCATAAATGATAGTTTAATGTTTAGAGTGCTTACGGATATTTAATACTGATTTTTATATGTATATTAGGTAATATTTATTGTGCTTGTGGGACAGTGATCACCAAATAATGAATTATTAGATTGTAAATGTTGTTAAAATGGTGGAAAAATGTCCATTGTTAAAGTATATTAGTATATTGACATTAGTTAAGAGTGGGATGCAAAAAATATTGCTGTCTTTTTACAATAAGAATGAAAGAGATGGCAATATTTTCTTGCTCAGGCAATCAAAGGCCTCGATGTACACTTTAAATTCTTGAAATCTGGGAATTATAGTTTAAATTTGACTGATCATTCTTCCTTGAATGTAAGGAACATTGGATGTACTGCTTGTTTATGATATGATTGTTGCTGGAGTGAAATATGACATTGTTAGACTGAATGTAGGAAATAAAGTTAAGTTTTTTGTATCAACACCTATTATAAGTTTTAAGTAAAGATTCTTGATATTTTTATCTACCATACTGCCCTTCTTTTTTATATTCTGTATATGCTGATTGATTTTGTGCTGATTCATTCAGTGCTATTAATTTACCATGCAAGTTCATGTTATATGAAAATTATAGCATTGACAGTGTTGAATCGTTTGGCAATAGTGTTTCTCTTAAAACTCCAATACTTGTAAATTAAATTACTTTATTTTTGTTTTCTTTCATAAAATAGAGACAAAAGTGTAAGCAGCGAACTTCCAAGATTAAAGTTTTACGACCTTATGACGTCACTTCTAGAATCTTCCAGCAACAGTTTTATCCATGTAATGCTTTAGTAGTTCCTACTTCCCTTTATAAATTATACTAACGCTTTTTGTGATTTCTAATCAATTTGAAACTTAGTTAAAATGTTGATTGTGAAGTTACGGCGTAAATAACTTAGATAACAATCTTCCTTAATTTAGGATATTATTAAGTAGATTAATATAATGTACGTTTTGCATTTTGTTAAAAAAGTAAACTTAAGTAGAAAAGATATTGTAATGTTATAATCACGTTTTCTATGTCCGCTTAAACGTTTGATAGTATTTGCACGTTTTTAAATATATGTATAAAGGTTGTCGCACACACAGCAACTCTCAAATGCACTTTAGTTGTGAACCAGAATTGATTGTTCAACTTTGCATAATTTTTAATAAACACCACAGACGCTGAGTTCATACCAAGTATTGTTAATAAATAGTGCCTTAAATTTCAGTCAACTTCGACATAACGGTTAAATGATATAAGTGTGTGACGACCTTAAGAACACCAACAATAAATTTAGAGATGTATAAATGTGTTATTCAATTGTTGCTTTATATGTAATTTAAATATAGGACGCGTGCGATACAAAAATATACTATGACGTCACGGCATATGCCAAATAACTCGAGTTCGCGCACACGTAGTAGAGATCACATTACAAAAGTTCAAAGTATATGAAATGCACCAAACATAGGACTATATGTATATTGTAATTATCCAGACAGGTTTACAAGATGTATATTTTTGTAACCAAAGCGATGTTTAGTTTTTTTATCAGAATTTTTGCATTAAAAAGTATGTTGATGAAATAACCGACCGCCATGTTGATTAAAATGGCTAAAGTATTGCAAAAGGCTATCTTCCTAAGTAGTAAGAGACTTAATAATTTATTTTTAAAATAAGGGCAACAATGCACTGCCCTCTTATTATAGCAATGAAAATTGAGTGAATAAAAATGATATAAACATATTTTGTAGTTTTATTTGGGATCATCTTTCACCACTTTGTCACCTGAGGTAAATTTTATGGAATGTTTTTGTAAAGTGTAATTATCTTTAATAGTTAGACAAGGGAAAAAACCTAATTACTAGAGTATTTATAGTTTACATGCAATTTTTTTAGCAATATTCATTTTTTTTATTTTAACTTATGAGACACAAACCTTTTATAAATCTTTTGGATATAGTATTTATTCAAAAAATTCAAAAAATCACGATATGAAATAAAACACTATTTCTGGATTAATATTTATTAAAGCAGTCATAAGTTCCACATTAACAATCATGTTAACATAGTTTTTAGGTACATTTTTCACCTGCCGTAAGTTTACCTAAATCGACATTTACCAGCTTCAGATCATAGAAAATTAACTTCAGATAAATGTATTTCAGGTATCAGTATTAAATAATATTTAAACTATAGACGTAATTATGCAGTGACGACAGCATTATGATGTGATTTAAGATAGTACAACTGCGCCTGAGACTCGAGTTCCTGTAAGGAGCGCACCACTGGTGCCATCTGGGACACGTGGTCCTGTAACAAAAAAATGTATTTCTTTCTATTGGCATCACAGAGACTAGTATTGACCAGTTATGTACAGTTGAGGAATTTTATTTCCTACCCATGTAAAAAACGTTATATGACCATGCAATTATGTCCCAAATTTGTTATCTTTTAAGCAAATTAATTCTTTGTTCTGTGCATTATTGGATAGACAGATCAGGTATACACACCTGGTAGCCAGTACCAATTTGCTTCCTCTTCTGACCGTACACAACTTTCCCATCAAACTCATTACATGGCACTTTCATGTCTGGCTCAATTTGCTGGATAGTTATGTTCAAATGATCTTCAATATCTGCCAAGTACTGAAAATAGGCATTTTAATTATTGCTGTAAAACACATATTTTAAGAATTAAGTTATTTAGTTTCCTAATGAGTAATACCTGCGGCTCATTGTACCACATGCAGCAGCCTCTGGGCCTGTCGTCTACGAGGTTGGTGTTCCAGCAGTTGCGGCCGCGAGACGAACACCACTCGCCGTGGTACCATACCTACACATACGTCATCAAATTTTTATTTAAAACTAGCTATCATCGGCACAGTATTAAATAACTTAAACATCTGTAGATCATAGTCAATAACATTTGGTGTTGCGGATGTCCATGGGCGTTGCTAAGCACCTTGGTGTTGCCTAGACTCTTTTGCATCACTCATAAAAAAATAACATGTTAATACCTTGCATACTATCTCCTGATAGATAGGGATCCTCTACTATAATCTTACTAATATTATAAATGCGAAAGTTTAGATGGATGGATGGATGTTTGTTAGCGTTTGTAGCCCAAACGGCTGAATGGATCTCCATGAAATTTGGTTTAGAGCATAGTCTAGAAGAACACATAGGGTACTTTTTATCCCGGGAATAGTTACGGTTCCTGTGGGATTTATTAATTTACTTTTTTAATGTTTACTCGATCCTTCTGCAACGGTTCAACATATCCTTTTGAAATTTGGCACAGATATAAAACAAAGTCCGGAGTACACATGGGATGACGTTCATCCCCGAGAAATGTCCGGTTCCCGAGGGATACGTAGCTTTTTGTTATTTATATAGTTCGTATGTTTTCTAATACCATGCGAACGAAGTCGCGGGCAACAGCTCGTCTAAAAATAAAATACTTAATAAGTGTTTACCTTCTCCGGTACAGTAGCAACCAGACTGATAGCCAGCCCCATGCGTTCCGCACGACCAACACGGCCGATACGGTGCACGTAATTAGACTTCTCGTCTGGCAGAGTCACATTTATCACTGAAATTACGCATTTTGATATTAATGTTGTCATATTCCCATTTGTGAATAAAGCAATAGTCGGACAATCGTAAGTACAAACTCAATAGAAATTACGAGTTAAACGTTATCCCTACGAGTTAATGAACCAATCAAATACATACTATTCAATCGAAACAATGGGAGAAACAATACAATGGGAAACACCCGAGTCGTATGGTGGCTGTCTAAAGGTGAAGGGCGCTTTTGTCTATGCAAGAAATTAACTGGTCAACTTCTCACTGGTTCTACTAACTTCGTATTAAGAAAATCTGTACTACGCAGTAAAGTCACAACACTACTCATAGATCATTGACATACACGTCCCATCCCTATGACATCGGTCATTGTCAAGCAGAATTATTAAGGATAAGCGCGGTAAACAAAAACTGAGTATTACATAGTAGAATTAATTGGTGTTATAAAGAGGAAAGATTCCTATTTTTAGATCTTTGTATGTATTGAAATATTTCAAAAACTACTGGACTGATGTTAAGAATTCTTTCACCATTAAAAAGCTATGTTATCAGTGAGTAACATAGGTTATATATTTTAATTTCACGCGGACGAAGTCGCGAGCAACAACTGGCTAATACAAAAGGACTACTCACTGAAGGGCAGTCCGGATATATCAATACCCCTGGCAGCGACATCAGTACAGATGAGGAACTTGACCTGCGCCTGCTTGAACTTCTCCAAGTTGGCCTTGCGCTCCGGCGGCTTGCGGTCGCCATGCAGACACACGCAACTAAACTCGTTGCCGAAAGAACGTAGATACTTCTCTAAGTTATCACAGTCCAGCTTAGTGCGGCAGAAGATTATAGCCCTAGAATGTACCAAATATTGATATTAAAAAAACATAATACTAATATTATAAATGCGAAAGTTTAGATTTATGGATGGATGTTTGTTGTAGTTTGTAGCCTTAACTGTTGAACGGATGAAATCTGGCATGGATCTGGAAATCTGGAAGAACACATAGGCTATTTGCTTTTGGTTTTTTTAATGCCACGCGGACGGAATCGCAAGCGAAAGCTAGTAGATCATATTTACGACATAGGTTATACTAAAATTTTCGCATTTAGTAAGATGTAAGTCGGCAAAATAAATAAAGTACAAAAGTTGAGCAATTTTTTTTTCAGCAATTTTACCTGTCCATTTTATGTTCCCTGATAGCTTGAACGCAGTACTCGCCCTTCAATATCTTGACGGCCTCAGACCACCTTTCAGGCGTGTTGGCGTCCTGCTTCATGTTGTTCTTTGCATGGACGCCGTCCGTCTGTATTGTCCTTTAAAGGAAAAATCATTTTATTAACAGACAGTTTAAAGACTCCAAAAGAAATATTAAAAAGCTATACCGTAGACTAAATTGTTACATCACTGTGCTGAAATATGGTATAATCTACATATAGTACATACGAAATAGCAAGTTGAGAAATCAATTAGCATAAGCGAGACAGAGGTATAGTCGGGAAAATTGGCTGTGAAATCTTAAAACCAAAAATAGTTTCAACATGTTGAAACAAGACGTGCAACAAAATCAATATAATGCAGCTTCTAAAGTCGGTTAGTAATACACGGCTAGTTTCTTTTTATTATCCACTTATTTGCACCACTCACTGTTATCTAATTAGTTATTTGTAGGAAGAAGCGGAGTTTGTCTCGTTACAATGAACAAGGCAATTGTGCCTAAAGAGAAACACACCGTATTTCCGCGACTGTACATAATCAAGACATACTTGCGCAATGTCTCCCAGGAGCGGTCCTTCTGCGGGTCCACATTCACGACGACATGGTGCACCGTCTCCGGCACAGAGTCCTCGCCCTTCAGGTCCACCCATGTAGGAAAGTGCATCAGTTTCTCCTAATTAGCAAACACAGCAAATAATCTAAAATCATTTCTCAACATAGTGAAGTTTCATCAGGGATGGATGTGATTTCTTTTTATATCGTAAAGTGGCAAACAAGAAACCGGTCTGAATTCGCCAAAACAGCGAAGCGACTATTGCCCTTAGACATCCTCAAAAGCAGATGGTTTGCCTAGGAAAGGACACACAGAAAGTGCATATCCCTTTCCTATGCATCCCCACCTCCGGCAATTTACTTCCCATCTTTTCCTTGTCATTTATAAAAAAGAGTAGGGAGAGGAAAACTAGGAACCAAGGTACAGTGCTATTTATGAAATAAACAAATACGTACAGCCATCTTCTTAACTTCCAATGCATGTAGAGTGGCAGAACAGACAACCATCTGAAGTCGTCTGCCGTCGCTGGTGATCTTGGGGATCTGTCTGTGGAGGCGCTCGATCAGCTCGCCGTAGCCCGCCTTCAGGAGACCGTCCGCTTCATCCAACACGAAGAAACGGCAGTGCGTCAGCGCTAAGTATCCTGGTTTACGGAGTATTCCAAAGTAAATAAGAACTTTTCTTTCTTTTCTCTTAGAAAAATATATTTATATAGACTTTTGAGAATGTCAGAAATTAGAGTTTTAAAAATAATATTTTACTAAGAGGATTTTGTAAGCGAGATTAAAAAGTACTAGATTTGGCATTGCCATTATTTTACTTTGTATCCAAATTAAGTTTTACTCTCTCTCTCTCTCGCTCTCTCTCACTCTTTCTTTCTTTCTCGTCTATATCCCATATGGTATTGGTGTCAACTTTCTTTGTCAATTTCCTCCATTTCGCTCTACTCACGACATCCTAATCCAAAAATTGATTCATTATTAAACCTAAGATTTACTATGGGTCTAAAACTATTTGGTATCGTCAGCGAAAACATAGACGAGAGTATAAACAGTTTTTACTATAAAGTTTATTTTGAGATGAAAGTTAATACAATGAAAAGTTTGGGTTTTTAATTTTTTTAGTATTAACACAACTTACCTCCTTGAATGAGATCCTCGAGTCTTCCAGGTGTACCAACAACAATGTCAATGCCCGCATTCAGCTGGTTAATCTGATCTTTAACATTGATACCACCAACTACAAGCAACTCTCTTACTTTTGGATTTTCTAAGTACTTTTTAAATTTGGTAATTTGGTTACATGTTTGTTCAGCAAGTTCACGAGATGGCTAAAAAATTAAAAAATATTATCACATATTTTTTTAACTACTAATAAAACTGTAGTACTCAATGATAACATAGCTTTTTATTGATGAAAAAAATTTTAAACATGTCCAGTACTTTTTGAGTTATTTCAATACATTAAAAAAAACTTTTCTTCTTTATAATATTAATATAGATGGTTGCCAAATGTTGCCCTTATCAAATAACAAATAACCAATTTTACTAGAAGCCAAATCTCATAAATATTTGAAATACTAAGATAATGTTAGAATTAAATACACTCAAATTGCTAAACAAATTTTTACCTCAATGATGATAGCCTGTGGTGCATTGTTCACTGGCTTGCTGTCAGTTAACTGAACTGACGAGACATTATTAAGTTTGACACATTCCTTGGGCGCATTGCAGATTGCCACATAATCTTTAGGTGGAGTATGCTACAACACAAATATATGTATTTCCATCATATAAACATCAATTAGATTAATTTCATAATATTTCTATTAAAACACATATAAAACCTACTTTATATCATTTATCATTGTCATGGAATTTTCAAAATAAGCGAGAAATTTGACCATTATAATAGTCCGAAGTATGGTTTGACATAGTAATATACATAGACATAGCACATAGTAAATTTTAATGTTGATTCAAAACAAACTATAGTAACCGCATTAAGATAATATATAATACCTTGAAAGGTGTAGCACCAAAGTTAAAACTCATTTCAGCATTCTTCAGAACAACAGCAGGGAAATAGCAATCTAATTTACGTGATTGATCTAGTTTGAATGCAATACCTAAGTCTTCTCCATTCTTTGTATAACGAATCTCTCCTTCATTAAGGTTCAATAAGCAACCTGTAAGAAGAAATCAATTAGTTTCTAATATAAACAGAGCAGACTATCGGCCAAATACTGAAACATCATTTTAATATTTAAATATATAACAGCCTCTCAATGATAAGGCTACGCATGAACTCCAAATTCCAATCAAATATTGAAATCCATTGATTGTAAACAGAGTTTTAAGTAAAGTATTTGAAATATGCTTCGGTATTAGGCCATTTGATAACTGTATAACTCAATATTGAGCAATTATATCTGTGTGTAAATCAAACAATTAGAGTAGTGGTTGAAAACCTAATGGTTGAAATTTCACAATATAATAATCAAAGATATTTTAATTTTAGATTAAGTTTAATTATAGTCAAATTTCATGTTCATCCATTTCCTTAAAAAGGGTACAAATGTTTCATTACACATATTAATAAATGTATTACTAATATTGCAGTTGCACACCGTCATCTAATGGCTAATGGTGATGTAACCCTTAAAAAGGTAAGAGTACAGCAGTGTATATCAACATACCTATTACATCATTTTTGCCATATGCACCTCCATAGTCATCAAATTGTTTGGCATTTGACTTCTTACCAGTCCCACCATATCCAAAACCAAATCTATCAGTTCCTAGATCCAGCCTTGCCTGTGAGGTAAAAGAAAATACTCATAGTAATATCTATTGAAGGCAGCCTGCTCTTCATATAAAGCAGTTAAATAAACTAAATGGTGACCTAAAGTCTGTATTAACTTTTATTAAAACTATTGGCAGGGTTTTGTCCATTTACTAACATTTCTTGTACCATTCCAACAAGCTCTAAGCTTGTGCTGTGCCATATTAACGTATCATTGTGCAATTATTTATATTATTGCACAATAAGGATAAATTTTCAGACAAACTACCATCTTTAGCTATAAGAAATAAATAAACTTGAATACTTAGTGTTTAGACAAACAAAAATCTTAGTCTTAAGTTTCATCTTTGATTTCATACAATTTTATTTTAGAAAATGGCATTAAACTTACAGATTGTGTTGACCATCCTACACGGCAGAGACCCTCATCAGTTACAATAGCCTCATAGTAATAAGCTCCCTTGGTGTGTACACCTTTGGTAGCCCTACAGCCGTGCCAGTCTTTGTGATCACGAGATTGACATCGCAAACCATCTGGAGTAACTGCCAAAGCTTCTGTTCGATCAAAAAATGACAAAGTCCACTCAGTAACTGTTTGTAGTATCACTTTACTTGTCTTTCCTTCTTGTATATCCTTTAAGGTTTCCCAAACTATTTGTAATATAGGTAAACAGAATGCGCCGGTCTTGCCACTGCCGGTTTCTGCAGCCATAAGGACATCTCCACCACCTAAGATTAATGGTATCGCCTCCGCTTGAACATCTGTCGGTAATGTCCACTCCATTTCTTCAATAGCCTTTCCCAATTCGGGAAGCACACCAAATTCCTCAAACGCAGTCATTTTTTGGTACACTTATGCTACAACTTTGATAAGAAAAAAAATCTAATTTTGAGATCGGCTGTCACTCATCAATGTCATTCCAACTGCCACTGTCAAAGTAAAAAGTCAGTATTTCACAACATTTTTAATCCGACGTTCAAAAAGGTGGTGGTTCTCGGTATAGTCTGTTTTATCTCGGCTAGTCAAGTTGCGTTTTCATCTTAAATAAGCTTTAAATTTTAAATGGCCAAACCACGATTACTTATCAAGCTACTGCTTATTTTATGATGTAAATATCATAAAGAAGGCACCTACAGTAAAAATAGAAACATTGAATTCAATGTTTTTTAAAATAATTGACGTGAAATGAAACAAAATGTGTTTTGAAATGACATTAATTTGACAATTATTTATAAATAAGCCTAACCTTTAAAATGGATTTAAGATTATTTTACTTTTGATTTACTGAATTTCTAAATTGTACACAAAATGGACTTAACTGTACTTAATACCGAGACAACTCCAAAGTTATCTTCTAAAGGAAAATATATGATTTACTTAACCGGTGGTCTTGCAGTAGGCGTTAGCGTAATATGTATACCTTTCGTTTCACCTGCTTTGAGAAGAGTTTGCTTGCCGTACGTCCCAGCTACCACTGATCAATTAACAGGGGTTACTAAAGCCTTAGTTGGTCGAAGTGGACGTTTATTGGATGTAGGATCTGGAGATGGTAGGATAGTGTTCACAGCTGCCAAACTTGGTTTTCAAGCTGATGGAGTGGAACTAAACTCTATTTTGGTGTATTATTCGAGATTAGCAGCTGTGTTTAGCCAGCATAGGAATACAAAGTTTTATAGAAAGGATCTATGGACATTTAGCCTTAAGCCTTATCAAAATATTGTGATATTTGGTGTTGAACAAATGATGACAGAATTTGAAAGTAAGTTATTACAAGAAGTAAATAATGGTACAGTTGTAGTCGCTTGTAGATTCCCATTACCAAATATGACACCTACAGAGACAATAGGACATGGAGTTGATACAGTATGGAAATATGTAATTAAAAAATAATAAATAGAAATTGTTGTATAGAAATTATAGTAAAATAATTATATTTATAATATGTTTTATTGCCTAATAAATATAAAATACATATATACATAGTAACAAGTAATCTTAAAACCTCCCACTTCTTTTCCTTCCTGTATACTTTGTGTCAGGTTTTGTTTCTTTTCCTTGTTTCCGTCGTCTTTCCTTTTTCTCTAAAAGCCAAGCCCTTGTATTCTTAAGTGGTTTACCTCTTGCTCCTTTAGATGCCTCTCTTCTTGCATATTTTACTTGAAGGCTGTTTTCTTCATCAACCCCTTTAAAATTAAAATTACCATATTTAATTTGAAGTTAATCTATTATTAGTTAGTACTGCACAGAAGTTATAGTAATATATTTTTAATGACACATTATTAAAATTGCTGTAACTAACCAAGAGCTTGTGGTAATGGTGCAGATCCTCCTGTCATAAGAACCAAAAAGAACTTCTTAGCCTTGGCAGAGTTTGGATAATCTATGACAACACCTCCATAGAAACCTGCTTTCATGGCTTGTGATGTCAAAAGTTCTAGTTGACTTTCATTTTCTGGATAGAATTGAAACACAGCTCTAGCTGATCTTGACTAGAAGAAATAATAAAAATGAAATAAAAACAATAATAAAAACATTTCATCATTTAAATGTATAAAATTTCATACCAAAGATGCATAGAGTGAACTAAAAAAATTATACAGTCTTTTAATGGGTTGATGTGACTTTTTATCAGCATTAAAGAGCCATTGAAGTGCAGAAACAGATACAGCACCATCAAAACTTCCAGGTTTAAATGGTACCCCATCACCCATGTCAGCGAGTACCAAATCACCTTCAGTTTCCCGCTCCAATGCAACATCTGAAAATCCATTCACAAGTTGCCATCTTATAAATTTGTTGTAAACAGCTAAAATTGACATTGCAACTGGTTTGTTTTGTTGCCCAATATTTAAACAATGTTTTAGAGTATTATCTTGAAGTACAAGGATTGCAATTGGGTGTATAAACATATCATATATGATATAATATATTGTCTGTTATTAGTATGTTAATATGTTATTAATAATCATACCTAGCATAGCAGAAGATATATCAAGACCAATCCACAAGTGGCCATTTTCTTCTAGCACTGTTCCTGATAAACCAGATCCACATCCTATGTCCAAGAGCAGGCATGGTGTTTCTTCTGGTAGTACTAGTAATTCTATACATCTTTCTGTCATCTGTGCTTGGATGTCAATAATTCTTGAGCTGAAGAAATCAACTTTAATTTTAATTTTACCATTTTAAGACAAATCAACATACACAATAATATATGTATTTACAACAAACTGACTTTTGTGTATATTTTCTGGCTTCATCTTCATTATAAAACTGAAAAACAAAAATGAGATATGTCATTGTGCATTCAATATTATCATTTTATAAAAAGAAATGAATCATACAAGTTCAGGCGGGGCTTGATGTTCTGGTCTTTTCGACATTTCCTTCAGTTATTTTTATTATGGGCTTATCACTTTATTAAAATAACATAACCTTTAAAACTGTTATTTATCTCGTGTGGCTGACACTGACATTTGAACACGACATTTCACGTCTGCTTTTATTTATCGACTCGCGAAATATTTTCCCATAAGGTTATAATACTTCAGTAGGCAAAATTTTTAAACAAATTATTGATTTTAAAGTCAATTAAAATAGTCACAATTTCTACACATCCAATGTATAAAACTGCTTCTAATTCTATTAGATAATGTATGCCTGTATCAAAACGAAAAAACAAATGTCAATTTGATATCAATGTCATTTTATTTGCAAAGCGGGAAATATTGTATTTATTTATTTTTTGTTTTAATTTAACTTTTTTTGCTGTTTTAGTCATTAATATTATTCTATCTTATGTAAATAAATAATTTGGCTGAAGGCTACTAAATAATGCGATTTTAAAAGAGATTGCTTAATTATGCCGAAACCGCTAAGCTTAAAAAAGGTAACAGTTATTTTATCACTTATAGTATATTTATTTGTAAATGATTACTATAGAAAATAACGGAAGATGGTGTCAAAATGATTATGTTTCTCATTCAACCTTCGAAGTTTCCATCTTTTTTTTTCTATTTTATTACAACCACTTATATTTAATGTTTTTTTTTTCTTTTAGAACCATCAAGTAACTGCCAAAAATCAAAAAGTGATAACTCAATTTTTTAAAAATCCTGTGAGCAATGACACTCAAAAAAATTCTACACCAAAAAAAGATAAAGACTTCCCTGCCTTCAAACCGGACACGAATTCTGCACTTAAACGCAAGATAATCTCACCAACACATACAAAGTCTGATAATGAAATTTTAGAAATCTCCCAAACAAGTCCCACAAAAAGTACAACCAAGAAACTTAAAGCTATTAAAAATAATAATGAAATAATTAAGGTATTTAATAAAGAAAATAAAAACGAAGGATTTACAAAGAGCACCGAGGAAACTCGCAAAGTAGATCAGTTAAAAGAAACCTTAATAATCACAGAAGAGGATCTTAATGATAAAAATATAAATATACACAATAGTCCTATCAAAAGAGTATTAAATGAAAACTATGAAAGAGTAACAAAAATCCAATCTCCTAAGAAAACTTTACATTTTGATAATACTCTTTCGCCAAGTAAAGGTGGAAATGTTACACCTAAGAAATACTGTAAAGGTATGTAGTTTTATTTTTTCTGTGAAGCATTTATATTATTTATTGACTTTTATTTTTATTATTGTACCTGTTTCATTTCTTTTTATCTTTATAAAACATACATTTGTGTTTAGTTTCAGTTTTTGGAAGTCCTAATAAAAAGGAGAATTCAAATAAATCATGTGAGAATTCACCATCAAAATCTGGTTCAACAATTAAAACATCACAATCATGTGAAAGGGAAATAGATAATATATTTGAAGATGAGTGGGAAATAGATCATTTTCAGGAGGTAACTATTTGTAAAGTAAATCTTTAATGCACTGTTGTATGTACATTACTGCAACACTTATTGCCCCCACTCAGAATTGTTACTAAGCAAATACTATCTACACTAAGGGTCTATCCCTGTAACTCTCAAATAATAATTGTGCCAGTTACACTCAGACTAGTTACTCAAATGTATCCTAATAAATCTACACTTAAATGACACTAAATCACTTTGAGTGCAGTTTGTGTGCAGACATTACCCTGTATATATAAACTGAAATGTTAATTTTGTAGGTAGATGAAGAAAATTTAAATTTATCCTCAATACACCGATGTGAGGTTCTGTCTGTGAAATTGAATGGGCATATTCAAGAAGTAAAGGTGCAAAGTGATAATTTAAGAGCCACTTGTTATGTTGAAGGTATTTGGTCAGTATCTACTACACATTATTCAATAATTTTTCTAGATAAATTTATAAAGCATTAAGTTACTGGACAAGACAATAAATTAATCGTTTTGGGTGCTTTCACCATTTTTATTAAAAACCTACTTCATACTAATTTTATGAAAGTGAAATTATAGATGGATGGATGTTCGTTACTACATCCAAAATAGCTAAAAGTATCTTAATGAAATAAGGCACAGACATAGTACATAGCCTGGAAGAACTTAGGCTACTTACTATTTTTTTTATGAAGTTTTAAAGTTATAGACAAAACTTAGTAAGTCATAAGTATATAAATATAATATAAATATGTTATAGTATACATAGTTATGTAATACAATTTTTCACAATTCCAGGTTATGTTTGAGTTTACAAGAAGGTGATATTGTAAGTATTTTAGCTGTTCGCAATTCATTAGGACAATTCCATGTGAACAATACTGCAGGGCTCATTGTGTTCAGACCTGACTACTTATTGTCGTCAACAAGTGTTGTGGCCGGTGTGTTCTGTCAAAGAAAAGCTGTACTACAAGAGAGATGGAGAGGTATCGATTCTGCTAATATTGCTGTAAGTTTATTCTATGTTTCTTTTCAAAGGTTTTAAACATTTTCCCTTCATGTATAGATTCTTATGAAGTAGTAAATGTTTAAATAATAATTGGTGCTCTTAGAGTTATGTAGCGATTACTAAAGCAGGTCCTTTTACACTAATGTAAAGAGGAAATTTTGTAGTTTTATAAGAAGTGTATTAACTCAAAAACTACTGGACTTATTTCAACAATTTATTCTACACTAAAAAGGTTTTATCTCTCAAGAACTACAATTATTATTGAAAAAAAGTTTATTTTTTGAATTCCCCGCTAAATAAGTTACAGGCATAAGTTGTAGTGTGTATTTCTAATTAGTTTCTACAGTGTTTACCTTTGGGATAGTTGTTGCTTTTGCTATGATATTCATCTTTAGTTTTTTTAAATTCCAGATGACTATTGGTATTTTAATTCATGAACTAGTTCAAAAAGCACTCACAGATCGTATTATGAGCCCAGATAAATTACGTTTTGAGACTGATAAAATTATTAAAGAATCAACCCAGATGTTATTTGACGCCGGACTCTCTGAAGAGGAAGCGAGATCGAATATGGAAACGTATATAATGCCGCTAAGTGAATTTATGAATACATATATGGCTGAAAAACCTAAACAACATATGGTATGAACATAGATTAACTTTTATCTGCCTTACATTTTAAAATATGCATTGTATACTCATAACATTGCTTATTACTTAAAATTATAACCCAGTTTGATGATGTAGAATATAGATATTTCTCTTTGAAATATCTGGCTCGAAGGACCATTATTTTTTGTCTTTTCTCAGCAAAAACGAAATAACAATTGGTCTGGTCATATAAATAAAGTATTGGATATAGAAGAAAACCTTTGCTGTCCTAAATTAGGGTTAAAAGGGAAAATCGATGCGACATTAGAAGTTACTATTCATGAACGGGAAGGTGAGATATAGTAATTTTTTTATATTTATTTTTTTCATGTCATTCATTTCTTTAGCAACACAACAAACTATTTTTGGATAAGAATTGCTTGTACACTTAAAAACTATTGCACCAATTTAATTTTTTTTTCACTATTACGAAGCAAAAGCTCGCGATTTCGTCCGCGTAATTACCTTTTTAATGGTGATTTTTTTTCTAAATTGGCCCAGTATTTTTGGAGTTATTTCAATAAATAAAAAATCCAAATCTTTCTACTTTATAATATTAGTATAGATACAGATTTATCGCTGAATGATTGAGCAATAAGTTTTTTTTTGTATATTATTATTAATCATAAAATTTCAGGTAAGCATCGGGAAGTAATTCCTTTGGAACTGAAGAGTGGTCGAGCAACAGTGTCCGTGGAGCACCGCGGGCAGCTGGTGCTGTATGGCATGATGCTCAGCGTGCTGCGCCAGGAGGACCCCACAATGGCTATGCAGAGAGGATTATTATTATATTTAAAGTAAGAGTTACTACATTAAAAAAAAAACTTTACTAGCAAGTTACCTTCCATTATTTAAATCTATGCCAAATTTCAGTGAGATTCGTTGATCCATTCTAGAGATATGTAATAACTTTCATCCATACATACATCCATACATCTACACTTTAGTATTTATAATATTAGTAAGAAGTAAGATAATATTAGTGTTTATAGTATATTTGTTATATGGCGTAAAAAGTTTAAATAATATGCATGGGAAAGGACTCTTTTTAAAAAATATTTCTTTTTGGTTAATTTACTAATATTTCTTTTACCATTCTCCCTAAGCTCTGGGCTAGGATATGGTTTTACAATAGTCGAATGGTGGGAATCGAACCCTCGACTACGTGATTGTAAATCCGTACTAACCATTAGGCTATTGCTGCTTAAATTAAATATACTATTTCCTTAATGTAAGCAAGTTAACACTATAGCTGTCTTTCTAGCCTTTTTATTATATTTCTAAGTGTTGCAGGTTTCTTCCTGTACTGTAACGAATTTTCTAATATTTTTTTTCAGAGAAGGCATTATGCTTCGTGAAGTGAGTTGTGGCTACCCGGAGCGGAGAGACCTTATTATGTTGAGAAATCAACTTGTGCAGTATTTAACTACACAGCATAATAAAATAGGTAAGTAGTATTAATAAATGTTTTTTGATTAAACTAGCGATCCTCCCCAGCTTTGTCTTAGTGCCTACGAATATAAGTCTCATATCTGCTCTTTTCCATTGATGTAATATGTATTTAGTGGTGTAGTTTTTTAATGCCGAAATAATTCATATGGATTCAGTAGTTGCAAAGCCTTTTAAATGTAAAAAAATCAAATCTTTTATTTTTATAATATCAGTATAGATAAAAATATTTAATTGAGCTACTATGTTTTTAATTGAATACTTTCCAAAACGAATGATAATCTGATTGGAGTATATATTATATTATATTATATATTTTTTTTGTTCATTAAAAATGAAGCATGACCAGAGTAAGATTACCTCCGATTTGTATAATCAAACTTGTGTATAGGGGTCATGATATACTGGACGTTTGTGTATATTTGCAGCGGATGATTCCGACATAGACGCTAAGTACCAGCGGCTGCCGGAGCCGGTGCAGCGCGACTCCTGCGCCAGCTGCCCCTACCTCACTGTGTGCTCGCTACATCTCTGGTAATCTGCATTATATTAAAAAAAATATATTTATTTCCTCGTTGGGCAGGTGACTGGTGTCCTAACTAGGGTACCCTGTGTATGGATCACCAAGCCATATATAAAAAATTAAAAAATCTACCATATATAAAAAACTTTATTTTATTGTTTACTTTTATTTGCAAATGTAAAAATTCAAAAGCTTAAATGACAAGGCATGTCATTGGGTAATTATCGTTACTATGGAAATCTTGCTTCTGCAAGACTCTTCTTTTCTTTGCCTTGTATTGTGTCCCTTTCTCGCAAGTCATTTTTTTCTAATTTATTCACCCTCTCAATAAGATTACGTTAAGAAAAATATGATATGTTTGCTGATATCCTACATTACAAAGAAATATGTGTTTACGCTTTGTTATATTATTATATGATAAATGTAGATGTTTATTTTAAGTAAAATTATGTAATATTTCGTTTCAGGCACACAGATGGTCCGAAAGTATCAAAATCTCACCCACTGGCGAAACTCCGAGAAAATGCTCTCGGTCACTTATCTCTTACGCATATAGAATATTTCTTACATTGGGCATATTTATTGAAATTAGAAGAAAAAGTACAATTAACATCATCACCACTGCACACTTTGTGGACCGATAGTGTGGAGAAAAGGTTATACATTCTGTATTAATGTAAATTAGTTTAAATTGTATTTCAATTATTTGACCAGAACTGATTGATATTAACGACGTTAAAGGTTTTTATTTCACCATAAATATCTCCACACTGCTTTTGAAAGTACTCCAATTCTTATTAATCAAAATTTAATAATAATAATAACTGGTTGCTTGAGTCATCGGATTCCGCAGCCGGTGGTGCTCTATTTTTTATATAATGCATTTTATTTTATTTTTATATCAAATCTTGTAAAATGTATTATATAGAAAATGAGAAATAAAGATATATGGAATTAAATAATAATAATAATAACTCATTTCACTCAATAACTCATTAAATTTTGCAGCGTATAATACTGTTCAAAAAACATTTTATATATCAAAATTTACACAAGAAATCTATTAAAAAATCAACAGTTGGCTACATGTGTTTAAATGTACTTAAAACATTTTAGGATTTTCTTAAAATTAGTCCTATTAAGTTGAATATCATAATTTGATGAGCTCACTAATAATCGCATATGAACTTCCTTTCCAGAATGAAACGCGGCACATGCGCTGGCAGACTTACATTGCAATCAGTGGAGACATCCGGCAATAGATATTTACATACATTTAAACGTGAAAACGCTTACGGTAAGTTTCATTTAATGGTTTTAATTAATTTTGACATTACTAATATTTTAAATTTAGATATATATACAACAGTAAATTTCTGTTGGATGTATGGATGTTTGCTACTATATATCTTCTATCTATCTATATCTCGCTGAAATTTGTTATAAATATGGAACATAGCCTGTTAAAACACATGGCTACTTAACTAAGTTTCTTTTTGATTCCGCGCGGACGAAGTCGCGGCAAAAGTTAATACTATTATAATAAGCTGTACTTGTTTTTGTTTGTTTTATAGACAAATCAATGGATTGTAGAAAAACGACTGGACCCCAAGAAGGAGATTTTTCAATAGTCAGTATAGAGAAGAGGCCGTGGCTGGCCGCAGGAGTTGTTACTTATAGAAGTGAAAAGGAAATTAAAATATTACTAGAAAGGTACCTTTTTATTTTTATTTCAGTAAAAATAAAATAAAGCACTTCTTAGATGTCCAATAATTTAATTGTATATTGATTACAATTGAACTCAAGATATTATATACTAGCTTTTGCCCGCGACTATGTCCGCGTGGAATTAAAAATACAAAAGTGAGTAGCCTATGTGTTCTTCTAGACTATCCTCTACATCTATACCAAATTTCATCGAGTTACTTTCAGCCGTTTAGGCTACAAACTTTAACAAACAGCCACCCATCTAAACTTTCGCATTTATAATATTAGTCAGATTTCAAATTAAGTATTTAAAAATTATCATTACAGAGATTTAAGTCAACGACAGAACGACGAAACAATTTTCCATATAGACGCGTACGAATCGTACGCTAGTACAGTACAGAATCTTACTAATCTAGGTGTACTTATAGAAGATAGTGAACGTGCGCACAGACTGAGAAGGTAAAAAAAAATCAAACACTGACATAGTACAGAGAAACCTATAGATGCTGTTTATTTTTTTGTCAAAATCTTTTTTTTTATAATACAAGGTGGCAAACGTGCGAGCGGCCACCTGAATCCACCGAAATGGAAAGCGACCGCTGCCCATAAACATTCGTATTTGCAGATGCGTTGCCTTTTTTTTTTTTTTTTTTTTTT